GTAATAAAAACTGTTGTTGTCTGAATTCCGGTCAAGTATATACTCCATTACATCTGGAAGTTTATTAGTAAGACAGCAAACATTTCAAAGTGAGCATAATATATAATTTATGTAGGTTTTATCATCCTTTAGAACTTGGCATTTAAAAGATTAATTTTAAGTGTTTCTTTCTAGGTATTTTTTTCTCTCTCAATTGAAGTACATTTAATCTCAAATGCACAGTTAAAATTATCATTTTGTCTATCTAAAATACAGTTAACAAATTTTTTCTCCATTGAAGAGCACTGATCAGTTTGATATTTTTTGCTACATTTAGCACATATTGTTTCTTAGCGCATATTTGTTTCTAGCATTCCTTCGCAAAATGTTCAAACCTTTGACAGTTAAAACAACGTATTACATTGAGTTTGTCATACATTCTGAAAGAAGTTAATTCGAGTGTGACTTTGTTTTTATAACATTGAAAACCTTCTCAAAATATTTTACTTATTTTTGCAAACACTTGATGGTTTATTTTTTATCGATTTGATGGCTTCTATTTTAAAATGATCTTTGATGTTTACCTTGCTAAATGCTTGGGTAAAACTGTTTTGTGAGTGCAGCATATTAACAACTTCATTTTCATTATATTACTTTTTTTTTTTTTTTTATTTTAATTCACCTCTTCAAGGCCAAGAAGACCACTACAGACGAGGAGGCTACTTATTTGTGGTTATAACCCTCTCTCAACTCTATAACTCCGAAACACGAACCTTGATAAACAAGGATGCTGCGCAGTTGATTACTTAGGTAAACCACTTATAATAATTTTTTGCATGTTTAATTGATATGATTTTATTTATTTGATTGTTCATGTCTTTGAAAAAATTCAGTAATTCAAAAAAATTTAGATTCTAGTCTTTAGATTCTTCAGAGTTTCATAAAAGGACAAGGACAAGGATTTATATCATATGAATTTTTCAATTGATGTTTTTGATTTTTTTGATGATGAAGTTTTCACTGTATTTAACCTTTCTTTGTTGAACCATAAATTATTATTTCCGATTTAGTACTTAAGCATTTTTTTAACAATTTTTTTATTTCATTGAGCTCAGTTTTGATTTCTGTAACATTAAACATTTTGATGCCTCAATGCTTCTAATTTAGATCAGAACACTTTTATCGAGGTTGGTAAGGCAAACATCACAAAAGAACAGAAGGTTTTTCTTAGTAGAAAAGAGAATAAAATTTGAAACTGTGGTTTTGCTAGCTACTTTATCTTCTTTGAAATAAATGGTCAAACAATGTGAAACCTTGATTTGCATACAAAACATTGAACATTTTCTGTTACTGACGCTGTATTTTAGCAGGCAGAATAATTACCACAGTTGTCTAATTTACTGATAATCGACATTCTTTGAATTTATTTCTTTACATACCTTTTATGAGAGTGGAACACTTTTTAAAAGGAGAGCTACCACTTTTTTGCAGTGGATTATCTCCGGGTCAATATCTATTATATGTTACATATATGTATATAACATATATATATACATAACTATATATATATATGTTATTATTACTTGAAACTTATTAACACAAATAGAACTGTTAGTTTTTTGTATTTTTTCTTGTAAAAAAACATCAACATAATTAACTTTTATATATAAATATATATATATATATATATATATATATATATATATATATATATATATATATATATATATATATATATATATATATATATATATATATATATATTATTATTATTATTATTATTCGTTTTTATTATTCATTTTCAGTCATGCTAATCTTTTTCTTATATATGATATAATTTCATAATTAATATAATTAAATAATATTATTTAACTCCATTTAAAGACTACTTTTTTTAAATATATATATATATATATATATATATATATATATATATATATATATATATATATATATATATATATATATATATATATATATATATATATATATATATATATATATATATATATATATATGAAATGAAAAATTCTTCAAAACAAAATTTTACTTCATTTATTTATTTCATTTGTGATTTTGAAAATGTTTTTTTATTTTATTTACTTTTTTTATTATTTTAATTATTTTATTTTGACATTAAAGTTGTTGATTATTTATACACTGTTCCCCAAAACCTCCAAAAGTCTCTAAAATCTTTGTGTCCAATTAAATTTCACCAACAAAAAATATTTATTTTTTAACTTTTTCTAATTTTTTTTTTTTTTTTAAAAAAGTAGTCTTTAAATGGAGATAAATAATATTATTTAACTATATTAATTATGAAATTATATCACATATAAGAAAAAGATTAGCATGACTGAAAATGAATAATAAAAACGAATAATAATAATAGTAAATGATCTAATAATAAAAATACATGAAAATGAATTGTTGTTTTGCATGTATTGGTATTCCAATGTATGAATATCACAAACATTTCAAAATATTTTTAACTTTTTTATAACTACTGCTACTACTATTACCAGCCCTCGGAAATAGGGTTTTTAACATTCATCAATACTAGCCTAACTGCTGACCTTAAAGTATTTGAGGTTGACAAAATATTGCTGACCTCATTTCTATGTTTTATGGTAGCCTCTTTGTGTCAAATTTATTTTGTCAACCTGATGCCGACCTCTAAAAGTTTGAGGTCTGCAATCTATTACCAATTTCATTTTTCCTAATTCCGAGGGTTGTATTACTAATTAATTATGAAAAACTTGACTAAAACTCAAAAAATCCATGGAGCTGTCTTCAAATTTGTGCATAATAAATGTTCCTTATTGGCATTTCTAAAACAACTTTATTTTCAAAAAAACATCAACAAACACTTTGTTTTGTTTTTTAATTTTAGTTTAAATATAAAATTTGAATTTAATAAGCTAATATGGCAAAACCTTTTTTTTTTGTATTTTGTTTTTTGCATTCATAATTAAGGAAAATAAGTACTTTGTGCACTGTGGTAGGTAATGTCATGTATTAAGACATTTTTGTTTGCAGTTCATGTATAATATTGCAGTTTCTGTATCAAATGGTTATCAAATTTGTTTGTACTAAAAGAAAGCAACTTGTAACTAACTGTAAAACTATGTGAGACCAATTTAATAACTTATTTAATAACATCCACTCCTAGAATTACTTATAGTTTACTTTTTATAGTTTATCTTATTACTTATATATTATATTATACTCTTATATATTATAACTTACATATTATATTATTATATATTATTACCTATATTTACCAATTACTTATAGTTTATAATTTAGACTTACAAACCAAATACAAAAAACATTTAAAACAACAAATCCATGCATGCAACATTGATAAGCCGCAATTCAAATTTGATTTATCCACTTTTTTTTTCTTTATCAAAGTTGATGTCACTGTATTGTGTTGAAGTAGCAAAATGGGAGTAACACAGAAATCAGAAATAAACAGTCTATCACAGACTGGTGATAAAACACTCCATTCACAATTGAAAGGTTAGAGGTTCAAACCCACTCTACGCATCTGGAAGTACAGCACTTTATCTGTTTCTCCACACATGGGCCTTGCTTAACAAGATGTTTTAAAGGGTTGCAAAAGTAACAAATAAAATAAAATTAAAAAAATAAAATTAAAATAAGTCTAAATAAGTCCTTAAAGGACCTACCAAGTCCCGAGACATGTTGTGTTCATATTAAAGAGAATGTTAAAAAAAAACCTCTGAGCAAATTTTTTTTTTCAACAAAAAAAATTTAATACTGATCATTCCTTTACCTATTCTGCATCTTTTTTGTTTCTGCTACTAACTTGTCAAATGTAAAACCTAATTTTTTTTAGGTATATCATCACATGGTGAACCCTCTCCCAGGTTCCTTATCATATATTCTACCCTCTCTCTATTTTAGTTTTACAAAAATGAAAAAAAATAAAAATAAAGATAAGCTACAATTCAAAAAAATATCTATAAAAATTGACTAAAAATAGTAATCATTAATTATCTTGCAACTATTTCAAATTTCAATTATCTAGAGAGTTACTAAAGTGTAACTAATTAGTTAAATTTTAAAAAATTTCAAATTACCTACTCTACTGTAGTAACTCTTAGACTTGTGAAACTTATTTATAAAAATAAGTTTCACGACTTTTATAATTACTTATAAAAAAGTTTAAAGTTTTTTATAAGCTTTTTAAGCACTTAATTTCAAGCACTCAATTTTAAGTGTGAGAAGTCACAAAATACAAAAAATTTTCTCTGTCTATAATATGTTTAACCTGTTTTGCTAAAAAAATCCCTTTAAAATAATATTTAGGTAAAAATAAATTTGAGCAATAAACCAAAAGAAGGAGTAGTCTACATAGTAGTAGTCCCAAAAAGTGGTATTACTTAGCTGATATTGCCTTTAATCTTAAGACACTATCTTCTTTAATCTTAAATCAAGTTAGATTACATCTAACTTAATCTTAAGAAACTTTTTCGCACTTTCTAAACTTAAATTTAAGATTTAAGATAACACCTAAGCTTAAGTTTTATTAAAAGTTTTCCTAAACATTTATATTTTACTTTTTGATTATAAGAATTCTCAAAACATAAATTGAATCTAAATGATCATTTAGTAATGTTAGTAGTGTAGAGGTAGCTTACTTCAACAGCAAGAAATACAAGTTAATATGTTACTTGAAGTACTTAACTGTTTCTCCACGCAGCAGCCTTATTAGTCGAAGCTTATGCTGCATACAACATTTTTACAAATATTTTTAATTTATAAAGACAAAAATGTAACAAAATGACAGATTACGGTTTAAAATATAAAAGAATTCAATAATAAGTGGTGGAATGGAAACTCATAATGCTTTTTAATAACAATAATAATAATTCTACTTAATCAAATTATCATTTTCGTAATTATTATTTATTATTATATATAATTTAAAAAGTATAGTCATTTTTGAAATACACCTGTGATAAAGTTGAAAATACATTTTTAAAATATACCTGTATTTTGCATTTCTGTATACTATAAACATCACAACATGTTAACTGTGAAAAATTTTCCTTAACTTCTAAATAAAAAATTTCAAAAAAATTATTAATTTTATTAATTATGCAACATAAAATTGATAATTATACAGTATGCATTATGCATTCAATAATTATGCAACATAAAATTATATATATATATATATATATATATATATATATATATATATATATATATATATATATATATATATATATATATATATATATATATATATATATATATATATGTTAATTCACCTCCTCAAGGCCGAGAAGGCCACTACAGACGAAGAGGCTACTTAATTGTGGTTATAACCGTCTCTCAACTCTAAAACTTTAAAACACAAACCTTGATGAACAAGGCTGCTGCGCAGAGAAACAAGTTGTAATTATACAGTATTAACAATTTACAATTCTATATCAATGCTTACACAACTTTATATTGATCATTAAATAATAATAAATATAATACAAATTTACATAAAAACTCAAGAATAATGTTAATACCTTATCTCTTTTTAATAAAACTATTAATTTCATTAATTATGCATTAAAAAATTGATAATTGTACATAGTTATGCATTTTAATAATAATGCAACATAAAAATCAACAATACTGTTATTACAACATTAACTCTCAATACAATACATGATTGTTTAAATTCTTTAACAAATATAATGTTAAAATAACAACAAAACTCACTTAGTAGATTTTCTTTTTTAACAATAGTATAACTTAACACCTGAAATTAAAAAACAAGCAAAAATAAAAACAATAAAATAATAAAATGAAATAAAAAATATGATATATATAATGAAAATATGATATATGTAATATAAAATGAAATAAAAAAACAAGCTTAGATAAAACAAATATTTTCATTAATAGAACTAAAGTTGACAAACTATAACTAACCATAACTTTTTCAAATATAAATTTGGTAATAAAATTGACAAATTATGCATAAATTGGCACTCCCTTTGTTAGATTGTATGAAAACAATACTATGACATTAGTATTATATTGAGTATTGTATTTAACCCTGTATTGCATAAGATGAGACAAAAAAACAAAAAAAGACAAAAAAAAACCAAACAAACTGAATAAAATTCACTCTAGAGTAAAGAAACAAATCGAAACAAAAACATATTACAAAAAACACACACACAAAGTGAAACACACAAATGGCTAAGAACGACAGAAAAAAAGTGCAGTGTAACTCGAAAAACTATTATCTTAACTTTACAAGCATTAAACTCAATTTCAGTTAATATCAATTCAAAGATTAATTACAAAAGTCATTTTAAATGATTTGTCACTCTCTCACTTATAAATATTGTGTGATCATCAAAATTTTAATATCAGAGAACATTTTTATTCACAAAGAAAATAAGAAATTTTTTAATATGTATGGAAGTACAATCTATCGTTTTCATAAAACGTCGATATATTATTTTATCAAAATTATTGATTTTAATATAACACTTTTATATTATTATTTATTTAATAACTAAATTATTAACTTTTAAAGAATTTTTTTGAAATGCAAGTCTTCCTTTTTGATTTTACAACACTTTTTACTCCCTGGAATATAGAATATTTCATGCAGTAATAATTTAGAATATATATATATATATATTATATATATATATATATATATATATATATATATATATATATATATATATATATATATATATATATATATATATATATATATATATATATATGTATATGTATATATACTCACAGGCCTCAACAGGAAGCGAAAACCAATTTATGGCTCTTGCAAAAGTATTATTTTATATATATATATATATATATATATATATATATATATATATATATATATATATATATATATATATATATATATATATATATATATATATATATATATATATATATATATATATATATATATATATATATATATATATATATATATATATATATATATATAATTCTTTTTATAATAGTGTCAGCAAATTTCACAAATGTGTGAAAATCTACAGTAGTTAAAATATTTGCGAATTCCTGTAATTTAATTTTTTGGTATAAATTGAAGTTTTATTAATTTGATCATTCATTTCTAATGAGTCTTTATTGATGAAACACAATGTAAAATGAAAAAAAAATTTGTTAAGTGATTTTCTACTAATTTTTATATATATATATATATATATATATATATACATACATACATACATACATACATACATACATACATACATACATACATACATACATACATACATACATACATACATACATACATACATACATACATACATACATACATACATACATAAACCACTTGCCCAGTCTTGACAATCTTCAAACTTTCTATAAGTCATAACAAATTTCACTTTCATTGGCGTTAGGTAAAGCCTGGAGTATAGTTATAGGAACTAGATAAGCTTAATTTTTATAATAATTGGTCACACACTAACTTTTATTTTCTCTAGTGCAACCTAATTTTTGTTTCTCCAGTGCAACATTATTGTGCACCTTGGTCACACACTATTTTTTTTTGTTGGTGTTAAATGTTGTTAAATACATAGGTATCACTTATAAAAAACAAATAAAAAAGTGGGTAAAAAAATATGTGCTAAGAACTCTTATATATTTAATAATAATTTTTACCTTGAAATAAAAAAACAACAATAATAGTATAAGGACTTATCTAAAACTTTGCTTTAACAGTATCCAATTGTTAAACATGTTTTAAAACAGTATACAGTTGTTAAACATGTTTTAAAACAGTATCCAGTTGTTAAACATATTTTAACACAATATCCAGTTGTTTAACATGTTTTAACACAGTATCCTGTTGCTAAACATGTTTTAATACAGTATCTAGTTGTTAAACATGTTTTAACACAGTATCCAGTTGTTAAACATGTTTTAACACAGTATTCAATTGTTAAAATATAAAGATTCACCTTTAAATAAGTTTGTGTTAAAGTTTTCAAAATAACTTATGTATTTTTGAACAAAAATATTAATATAATACAAGTAAATTTACTTTGGCATCAAAATCTGTGTTTTTCCACCCACCAACAAAATATAAAACATTGAGATCCACATTTCCTTCAGCGAACCTTTCAAGCAATCTAAATAAAATTAAAAAAAGGCTTTAAAGCTGCAATTTTGCAACTGATCAATACTTATGTTATGCAAAATATACATCAGTTAAAATTTTCAAAGTTGCAAAATTTTTGCAACTGTGAATACTTTTTTTGAGTTTTTAAATTTGATGATCAAAATTATTGATAAATTTTAGGTATTTTTCATTCAATGACTAATCAGGGTTGCCACTATAATTTTTAAAGTTTTTCCCTGAGTTTTCCCTGAGTATTCCCTGAGTAAAGAACGTTTTTCCCTGAGTTGAACTCTTTAAGTTCCCTGACTTTTCTATATTCTGTTATATTACTTCTTTCCTGTCTATCAACGAGATTATTATTTTCCTTAATTAAATTTATTTCCTTAAATAAATCTTTATATTTGACAAACTAAAACTTTTACAACAACATCCACATCTTGCAAACTTATTATTATATGTATTAGCAAAATATTTTTGAAAAAAAAAATTATTGTACAAAATATCAAAAAAAAAATTTATTTTCCCTGAGTTTTCCCTGAATTTTATAAAATTTTGAAAAAATCCCTGAGTTTTCCAGGTTTTACCTGGGATTCATGCTATTTCCAGGTATTCCAGGTTTTCCAGGTTAAGTGGCAACCCTGCTAATAATATTGAAAAATCCATGCAGCATGGATTTGTCTATTATGCTGTTTGTTGAGTTTTAAAATATGCCATTATCTTTATTGGATGTTTTGATGCACAGTTCCTACGCACCATTAAACTTTATAAACATTTTTTATTGACTATTTTACTTTAGTGTGACAATACAAGGACATTATTGACAGAATTTTTTATCTTCACAGGTGGAGCCTGTGGAGAGAAAGCCCTACTAGTAAAAACATTCATCAACAACCTTCACTCTACTTTCAAGTTCACTTCTAACCACAAGGACCAAGCATTATTCACTATCAATTAGATTTCACTATGAACAAAAATCCTCTAAGACAGCTAACCTTATATAGAACACCACATAATCCTATACAGAAAACCAAATCCCTTGGGCTTTAGCTGATATTATTAACTATAAGTTTTTTGTAATAGTAAATTTTGTTTGTTTTTGTTTATTTTGTTCAATTTATTATATGTTATGAAAGTTAAAGAAAAGAGGAAAGCCAGTCAAAACAAAACGTATATATTTATTCAGCTCTTGGAATTAGAGTCAGTATTTGGCAATACCGACCTAGAAGTGCTCAAATTCGTCAAAAATCGCCAACCTTGTTTCCATGTTTCATGGTAAAATTTTTGTATCTAAATTTTTTGCCGACCTTTAACAAATTAAATTAACATTTTTTCTAATTCTGAGAGTTGTATTTATTATAAATATACTTTATTCATGTACCACCACGTCCCTGGTAGTACCGCGCTCAACTCGTTTCTCCGCGCAGCGGCCTTGTTCGTCAAGGTTCGTGTTTCGGAGTTATAGAGTTGAGAGAGGGTTATAGCCACAAATAAGTAGCCTCCTCGTCTGTGGTGGCCATCTCGGCCTTGAGGAGGTGAATTAAAATAAAAAAAAATAAAAAAAAAAATTTAAATTTTTAATTTTATACTTTAAATATAATACAAATCATATAAATTTACAATAATAAATATATGCATCTATGTTTTAAAAGTCTATGTTTCCATTCTAAGTCTGAAGATTCAGGATCCCAGATATATCATTATAGTTCAAGTTAGGTATAAAGTCTTCAGAAGCTCCAAATAAAGATAAAAAATAAAAATATTACAGAATAAAAAATATCACATTAAAAAAAAAAAAAATTATTATTAAAAAAAAGGAAGAGGTGATTAACATTCTAATGCTCTTTTGTGAAATTTCGAAACTTTAAACTCTCCCAAACTTGTTGAGCTTGTTAACATTTTCTAGTGTTAGTAACCATTTTTCATTAAGTTTATAATATTATTATATATTATAATAATATATCTTGTAATAATCTTATAATAATATATTATATATTATAATAATATCTCTTATATATTATAATAGTATATTATTGTATATTATAATAATATATCTTCCACATATCTATTTGCTTTATACAACTTTGAATTGTACCAGATTCAGTTGTGTTTAAATGGAGATGGAGCTTTTTTTCATTATCTGAAATATTTATCTTTATTATCTGAAATATTTATCTTTATTATATTTATCTTGAAAATTTTAAACTTCAAGTTTTTTATTTAAACTTTTAATTCAAATTTTTAATTTAAGTTATTAAAGATAAAAAAAACCAATAAAACATAACTTTAACATACATCTTTTTAAATTTTTTCAACACGGAAATTTTTTTCTCTGCGCTTAAACTCATTAACTATTTAAATCTTTTTCCTAAAATTTTTATTTTTATTAAATTTAATAAAAATTTAGACATTGCACAGTGGTCCAGAAATGTCACTTTTGAGGCAAAAATCATATCTTCCCCAATTTTGAAGATAATAAGCTAAAATTTTTAGTGAATGTTCATTATACTCTGGCCAACAATAATTGTTATTGTAATGTTGCTTTGTATACCTCTAAAGGACACGCCAATAACACAAAACCAAGGACAAATCGCAAAACGAATAATAAACATGTGACACATATTTCATATTGACACGTATTTCAACTTTCTATTGACTATAAACAGTCACCAGAATGTTTGATACATTGTTCGATTGAATAAGTATCATACCTGTGTAAAACACCAAGAACACATAGCTTAATAAAACTTCCATTTAACTTATTTTAACAGAATTATGAATACCTTTTAACTAAACATTTTTCTAGAGGACAAACTTCACATTTATAACATCTTGGTGGATTACAAAAACATGCAGAGTATCACACCAAGGACAACACCAAGGACAGGTGCCAAGGACAAAAAGTAAGCTCAACAGTAATATATAAAGAATTAAAATAATTTCCAAGATTTATGATACATTTATGAAAATTAGTGTATAGAATAAATGCTTTAAAATAACACGCCAAGGACACATTACATAACATGCAACATGCCTTTTAGATTTGTACTTATATCTAGATGTTAAAATTTATTTCCATAATACTAACAAAATGTAGTATTATAATAGTTTCCTGGTCGATTAATTAACGAAATCATCAAGTACACATATTTTGTAAATACCAAGACATGAAAAATCTGTGCATATGGTAGCACAGCAAGAACATACAACAACTCAAAAAGAACGCGCAATATTGGTTTTACACCAAGATTATAAATAAAAATAATCATTCTTCAATATTTCTATATAAAAAATTTTTTTAATAAACTGAGCAATTTAAAAATATATAATTATAAAGGGTTTGAGTTTTTAAAAAACATCAATGAAACATGTTTAAACATGTGTACATACTACTAGAAAAAAGGTGCTATTTTAAAAATGCAGCTTTATAGATTTCTTAAAATAAAGTAAATATATTTAGGACACATACAATCAATAATTCAATTAGTTTGATATAAAGAATATAATATTATTTAGAAAGTTACAAAAGAAGGTCTAAACATTCTGCTGGAAGTTCAAGTTCTTTTTTTGATTCTGAACTTCGCCTCATAGAAGTGATAAAGGGTTTGATGAGCAGAGCAATCTTCTCATTACATCTTAATTTATAAGTTTTCTAGAAAATTTTCTTGTAAAATGTTCTCGAAAATTTTTAACATCTTTATTTCTACTTTCCTTGGCTTCTTCAGATAAGAGGCCAATTGGAACTGGCTTGTCTCTAACAACCTGGTGTGAATGTACAATCATCTTGTAAACTCCAACAGGCATAGGATACCATTTAAAATGGGCTACATATGTCTTAAATGTTTCTTTGCAATATAATTCTAGTTTATCAAGATCAATTGGGTGTTTACAGGACAACACACAAAGGATAATGAAAAATCTTTTAACAAGACCCTTATCAATTCCAGGTATTTCAGCAAAAGTTTCATGGCTTCTAAATGCCTTTTTTGCTGTGTTTCTATCATTAGATGTACCAGAGCCACCACTTCTTGGTACATCAACAACAAGTCCAAGTGTATCTTTGATTTTTTCCTGAATTTTTTTTTTTCTATTTGCAACCATATTTTTCTTTTCAGGAGTTTTTGTATGAAAAAATCTACAATCATTGTACCCTGGTCTTTTTCTCTGTCCAATATGTAACAGACATTCAAAACAACGAATCCAGAGATGGAGAGTGTGGATTCCCAAGTCCAAAGACATCTGATTAGGTTGTTTATTATAAGCAACTACAAAGTCATTCATTTTTTTAGGATTTAATCCACATATATTGCAAACTTGATAAGAATCAGTTAATGGAGAAAAAAGAGTGGAAACTTTTCCGTCAATCATAGTACATTCTAACTTGTGCTTGACTTGAAATAAGTCTATGGTTGTTGTTCTGAGTTCAGTTGACATAAAAAAATCATATTCTGCTTTAACAATTTGCTGATTTTCTTTAACGTATTGCATTCGAACAGGGCGACAATATTGGGTTAAGGATGTTTTGGGGTTAGTCCAAAGAATAACATTAGTTTCCTGAACTTTAAGTTGCACAGGTACTGTACATGAAAAAAACAAAGATTCTTCAACTGAGAATGACAATCTGTCCTCTTCATCTCTGTTTATAAACAGACTGTCCAGTTGACTGTCCATCGAATCCGACTTTGCTTATAAGAAGAAGAGTATTGCAAGGCTCAGGTAGTTTTGATTTATCAATAACTTTCCAAATCCTGTTTGTAGTGTGATCCATTATTCCTTGAAGATTTACAGAGGCACTGTAGTTTGTGGTAACAATTCTGGAATCTGGAATACAATCACTTTTAGATTTCACAATAAAGTTGTAGGCAGGGTATAACATGCAACCTTTATCTAAGGCCCCTTAAAGAATAGTCAGCCCTACTCATTCTACAGTCTAACATTAAAGCTAAAGCTTCTTCAGCTGAGTAGACTTTAGAGCATGATACATTGCAGGATCCATCAACTTTACTTTCCATC